AAAATTGACCAAAAATCGACCTGTATGTGTCGAAAATTGCCGGCGGGTTCAAAAAAAAAAACTTCAAAATCGACTTCGAAGCCCAAAAAAAACATGGATACATAACTTAATGGGTCCTCTTTCCATATATACTACCATATTATTGTCTTATAACCCCATTTTATAAGTTTTGTGAGGTTTTGATTTTTTGAATTTGGAGATGTTTTGGAGGATTTAAGAAGATGAAGAAGATAGGGTTTAAGGGATTTGAGTTTATGAAGAAGAATAGAGGATTTGTTTTTCTTTTTTTCCCTTGGTGCTGAAGTGAGGAATAAAAATTTTGTTTGTATAAATTGTATTTTGGTTGATGAAGGGCGTTTTTGTACTTTGCTAACAATTTTTTTTATTTATGGTTTTAAACTAAGAAAAAGTTGTAAAAACTTCTATAAAAAATGGTTTTAAACTTGGAGGTACCGAAGTGAGAAAAATTTTGGATTTGTTTTAGTTGCCCCCATAAGTCAAATTATACTCCATATCTCAAGAAAACATACTTATATTACAAGGTAAATTACAACTGTCCCTCTGAGATAAGGTCTATTTATGAAAACCCCCTTATTTTTTCATAATTACATCCACCTCATGAAATTTGTAAATTTCTTACACTAAAACCCTTTTGTATGGAAGTGGATGTAAGAAATTTACAAAATTCAGGGGTCTACACGTAGTTTCTACAAAATAAGGGATTTTTTGTAAATTAACTTTACCTCAAGGCGGCAGCTCTGTAATTGACCGTATATTTACAACATACTATAAATCATTTTCACCTCAACGATGAAACATCCTTAATTCTTCCATGAGAGATTTCAAATCAATGTCGGAAGATCCACCTTCTTGAACCGCCATTTTCGCCAAATCCCCAAATTCTCTAGCCCTAATTCTCATCCTCTCAGCTTCTTCTTCCCCACCCATCAACTGCGCCACCGCTCTCTCTATACTCTCCCCCTTTATAACCTCTCTCTCATCCGTTCGTTTCGTCCACTCCCGAGCACCCACCGGAATTCCAGTCTTCAGAATCTCCGCCACCAATTTCTCATTGAAGAACTGCTCCGCCGACAGCGGCCACGTGATCATCGGAACACCGGCCGCCACCCCTTCCAGCAGCGAATTCCACCCACAGTGCGTGACGAACCCTCCGACAGCTTCATGGTCGAGAATCTGCACTTGCGGGGCCCACCCCCTGATTATCAAACCTCGCCCCTCAATCCTCGCTTCGAATTCTTCATCTAATTGTGCGTTTTCTTTAACAGCCCATACGAATTCCCGGCCGGAGTTTTCGAGCCCCTTTGCAATCTCATGCAGCTGAGGTGTTTGAAAAAATGCCATACTGCCAAAACACACATACAAAACCGAGTTCGGTTTCTTCGAATCAAGCCAACTCGAACAGTACTCATTGCAAGATGATTCTTTTCCTCTACAAGCTTTATCTTCGTCGCTTTTATTGAAAAGCGAAACGGGACCGATATGCCACGCTCTGCCGCCATCAAGCCCCTTGTAATGCTCTGCATAAGCCGGTTCCATCTCGTAAAAGCTGTTCACTATCTTACCGTAGCTCGCTAATTCCGATTCCAATACCTTCCTCACAAACTCTGCCATTGGATTGTTATTATAATTGTCTCCGTCTTTTAACTGGTCAGGTATTTGTCGTCTCGAAATCCTCACCTCATCGGGCAAACCCGGTACAACGAATTCTTCGAAATCCGATCCAACTTTCTCGTGAGGTTTGTTATCTCTCAAGCTCCTGTAGACACACATGGGGAAAAAACCCGTCCCGTAAAAGGTCAGCCTCGGAATATTCAGCCTCAGTGCCACGTCGTTAGCCCACGAGAAGAAAGCCCCTGCAACTATACAATCCGGACGATTTCCCTTCTCATGCAGAAGCTTTTCGACTGGTTCTCGGAGTAAATCAATGGCCTTCATGAAATTCATTGACATTTCGAGGGTAGTGGTGGAAGATAGATTCTCGCAGCCGTCGGGCAGGCCTGCTTCTCGGCAGGGGAATTTGACGAGGGAGATGCTGATCTGGGAGCCGTTTCTCCTGTCACGTTCGATTGTTTGGGAGAATTGAGACGCGTTTGAGGATGTCGTGATGATAGTTGATTTCGCACCGAGCCTCGCGAATTGTCGGGCGATGTCTATCATTGGAATCATGTGGCCAGGTGCCATTACTGGAATGAAGTATATGCTAAGAAGTTGACGCGTTTCTGAGTCCATCGTTAGCAATTTTCTGAAAGAAGAAGTAGTGGTAATAAGTTCGGTTTTGGTTTCGGTTTCGGGTTCGGTTTAATAGAGCAAGTATGTATAAGCTTTTTTCCAGTGTGTTGTGTGTGTTTCTTGGAAGGACCTTTCAGAAAGAAGAGAATTGTTCAAAGTTGATTATTTTAAGTTGACTAGTTCTTTGCCTTGGCCAGCAATCTCCAATCAGTGCTTATCTTGAAAAGTACTTGATTTTCCAAGATTTGATGGTCAAGTAATTTATTATCATTGGTTCTTGTTTAGACTAGTATAGTCACAGTTGTTATGCTGGTTTAAAACCCTGGTTTGGATTATAAGATAAGATTAAATAATCTAATGACAATTAAATTATTTTAATGAATTTTGGACGTTCAACAGAAAAACTCCTTATAAGGTAAGATAAGACATAACAAGATAACATTTGCGGGTCGAACTCACAAGTTATTAGAGATACCGAACATCAAATAAAGTCTAATTATTTATTCAATTATTGATAATTTCCCCACCAAACGAAAGAGTCTTCGTTTGTCTTAATCATGATCTTGACTATTTTACATTCGTGGAAATAAACAAAGTTAAGCATATTTCAAACGAAAACCACCAAACATAAGGACGAAATACTGAATAAACTAATTAATAGGCAAACTCAGATTCATGTTCGGTCTGATAAAAGTTCCTTCGCACACGATTCGATTGTTTATTAAACCAAGTTCAAACACCATGCTGAAAGCTCGATAAAAATTCAAACAAAGTTGAACACACGCGCGTTCAACTCGACACCCCTAGATGCATGTCTATTGCAACAATTTATTATGTTTTCAGTTTTTACATTCTTGAAAATTGATATTAGGAATTAAATCAAAACCCAGAAGATTAAAATCCATTTTATTAAATAAATTATTTAAAAATAAAATAAAAAAGTTTGATACATACTAAATCATTTTCACCTCAAAGATGATGAAACATCCTTAATTCTTGCATGAGAGACTTCAGATCAATGTCGGAAGATCCACCTTCTTGAACAGCCCTCTTCGCCATATCCCCCAATTCTCTAGCCCTAATTCTCATTCTCTCAGCTTCTTCTTCCCCACCCATCAACTGCGCCACCGCTCTCTCTATATTCTCCCCCTTTATAACCTCTCTCTCTTCCGTTCGTTTCGTCCACTCCCGAGCACCCACCGGAATTCCAATCTTCAGAATCTCCGCTACCAATTTCTCATTGAAGAACTGCTCCGCCGATAGCGGCCACGTGATCATCGGAACCCCGGCCGCCACTCCTTCAATCACCGAATTCCACCCACAGTGCGTGACAAACCCTCCGACAGCTTCATGGTCGAGAATCTGCACCTGCGGGGCCCACCCCCTGATTATCAAACCTCGCCCCTCGATCCTCGCGTCGATTTCTTCATCCAATTTCACCCCTTCCCTAACAACCCATATGAAATCTCTGCCGGAATTTTCAAGCCCCTTTGCAATCTCGTGCAGCTGAGGTGTTTGTAAAAATGCCAAACTGCCAAAACACACGTACAAAACCGAGTTCGGTTTCTTGGAATTCAGCCAACTCAAGCACTCATGGGAGGATATATCATCTTCATTGATCCTATTGAAAAGTGAAACAGGACCAATATGCCACGCTCTCGCACCGATAATCTCCTTATAATATGTTGCATAAGCCGGTTCCATCTCGTAAAAGCTGTTTACTATCACTCCAAAGCTAGCCGATTCCGATTCCAAAATCTTCCTAAAAATCTCAGCCATCGGATGATCATTATTATTATTATCATCTCCTTTGAGTTGATCCGGAATTTGTCGTCTCGAAAGCCGCACCTCATCGGGCAAGCCCACGACGACGAATTCTTCAAAATCCGATCCAACTCTCTCATGAGATTTATTCTCCATCAAGCTCTTGTAAACACACACTGGAAAAGAACCCGTACCGTAAAACAACACCCTCGGAATATTCAGCTTGAGCGCCACATCATTAGCCCACAAGAAGAATGAATCCGCAACAATACAATCTGGATAACAATTGGCCTGTTTCTGCAGAAGATCTTCGATTGGTTCTCGAAGTAAATGAAGGGCTTTTTTGAAATTCATGGACATTTCGACGGTAGTTACGGAAGATAGATTTTCGCAGCTCTCGGGCAGGCCTGCTTCTTGGCAAGGGAATCTGATGAGGGAGATGCTGATCTGGGATCCGTTTTTTCTGTCACGTTCGATTGTTTGGGAGAATCGGGCTGCGTTAGAGGATGTAGTGATTATGGTTGACTTTGCACCGAGCCTAGCGAATTGTCTGGCTGTGTTTATCATCGGTATCATGTGGCCCGGCGCCATCATCGGAATGAAGTAAATGTGGAGAATTTGATGAGATTTTGAGTCCATTGTTAGCAATTTTTTTGAAGTAGTGGTTTTAGTTATTTGCCACTGTGTGTTGTGTGTGTTTTTGTTTGTGAAGAAAGATGAAGTCAAAATTCAAGAAATGTATTAATATTGGTTTTTTTTTTATTATATACTTATTTGCTAAGCTGGTTTGATCTGTTCTTTGTGGGGATGGCTTCTTAAATTTGGGCAAATTACGGTCAACTCTTGAATTAGGTCAAATTATGAAGAAAAAAAAATTCATCTTGTTTGGGTAATTACAATCGCCCCCTCAATTATGTATCGTATAACACATTTACCTTTACAGTGTCAAATGTATCTACTGAATGAGGGGTTTTTTTGTAAGACAATACATAGTTGAGGGGTGGTTGTAATTACCAAAATAAAACGGATTTTTTCGTAATCTGACCTTACCTCGGGTGCCAGTAATTTGCACTATAAATTTTGAATTTCCTGCTGGAGTCTTATTTTGTTCTCTTTCTTATGGCAAAATGCACAAGGAATATTCGTTTGTCTTAATCATGACCAAATATAAGGACCGAAAGTGAATAAACTATCTTACAGTGATCAAATTAATATTTTAGGCAACTAAATTGTTATATCTTATGTAGAGTGATGAAAAAGAGAGGAAAATTGTGAGGTGAGAGTAGTAGTAATTTCATGTTCAATTATGATAATTTAATTTGAAATTTCAGATTTCCGATTTTTTTTCTCTTTTGAATCGGAATTGGAATGTATATGAGATTCTGATTTTATTATATCACGTGCGTCATAGTATGAGAAATTTAAAAATATTCAAGTCTTCGATTTTCGCAAACGAATTTTGATTTTGGAACAAATTTCTAGATCCAAGTTTTTGAAATTTCTATTTCGTCCGATCTTTTTTCGGATCGAAATTAGAATTAATTTTTTTTTTTAATTTCAAGAGTCGCCCCAGCAAATCGAATTATTTTACAATACAAAAGATTATCAAATCCTTGTACCATAGGTTGATCATCACGAAAATGAGAGACCAATAACTTCTTACTTTCCGACAAATCATTCCAAATTAACATACGTCAAATTCCAATTGCCCGTGAAGATTAGTTGCCTATCTACACATTATTCACCCACATCTCTTTTTTTATTGATAATTATGTTATAAAAAACTCGTAATCATTTCACATAAACAAACTTGAAAAATTAAAGAGAGAGAGAGAGAGAGAGAGAGAGAGAGAGAGAGAGAGAGAGAGAGAGAGAGAGAGAGAGAGAGAGAGAGAGAGAGAGAGAGAGAGAGAGAGAGAGAGAGAGAGATGTTGATCCACTCTAATGTTTGTCTTGCCTTACTTCTACTACTAGCAATTCTTTTGTTCCATGCAACTTGTTTGAACACCAATCAAGCACATCCAATAATTGCCAATGGTAGAGAAGCCCTAGAGATAATCATCGGTGGTGGTGGTGGTAGTTATGGCTCTCCTCTTGCATCACCACCATCTTATTACCCTTTCGAGAGCAAGCGAATCGAAATAGTCTACCCCGTGATCCAAAAATTCAAGCAAAAAATCACGAGCGACCCATACAACATCACGAACACATGGGTGGGCCCCGATATCTGCAATAACTACAAAGGCTTCTTCTGCGACACCCTCCTCGGCGACTACAACTCCGTCGCCCTCGCCGGAGTAACGTTCAACGGCTTCAACTTCGACGGCCCGGATCTCAGCCTCGCCGGATTCATCGACGAATTGCCCGACATAATCGTTTTCCACGCAAACTCCAACAACTTCAAAGGCCCATTCCCTTCAAACATCTCCAAGATCAAGTACCTATATGAACTAGACCTAAGCAACAACAAGTACACTTGCGAATTCCCGCACGAAATTCTCGGCTCGCAGTTGACTTTCCTAGACCTCCGATACAACACATTTTCCGGTGCGGTCCCGCCCCAAGTTTTCACGCTCGACGTCGACGTGCTCTTTATCAACAACAACAACTTCATGCAAAAACTCCCCGACAATTTGGGCTCAACCCCGGCCCTTTATGTAACCCTAGCTAACAATAGGTTCACCGGCCCGATCCCTACGAGCATCGGCCGGGCTGGCAAAACCCTAATTGAAATTATCTTGTTGAACAATGGATTATCGGGGTGCTTGCCGTGTGAAATCGGGCTTTTGGAGAAGGCCACCGTGTTCGACGCCAGCCGCAATTACCTAACGGGACGGATTCCACTTTCATTCACGTGTTTGGGCATGATCGAGATTTTGGATTTGGCCGATAATCAATTATACGGGCATGTACCCGAACTCGTGTGTGAGTTGCCTAATTTAGTTACCTTATCGTTGTCTTATAATTATTTTACGGGCATTGGCCCGAAATGTTTGGAGTTGGTGGAGAAAAATGTGTTACATTTGAGGATGAATTGTATACCGGGCCTACCGGACCAAAGAACGCGGGCCCAGTGCCGAGCGTTCTTTTCGACGGCTAAGGGTTGTCCTAGGTCGAATTGGATTCCGTGTAGTAGTGGAGGTGTTATTCGGAGGAACTCTCTTGAGTCGTCGTTGGATACTAACGGTATTTCGGCGGTGTCGGTGAAGTTGAAGTCGCGCGCTTATGCCGCTTTAAATCGTCGCCTTTGACTGCATTTGTACTAGATTGGATTGAGTGCTTCTAATTTAGTATTGTATCAAGATATTTGTATTTTATATAAGGATGCACATGTAAAATAAATAATAAGGATGAACTTGTGTGCTTTGTAAATTATTGTACGAGAACGAAATTTATCCGTAATTGTGACTATATGAGTTCTTTATTTAATAAAATTGTACATACAATAAGCTCAACAAAATGCACATACCGAAAGTGCCCCCTCATTTTCTTTCGTACCTAATTTGATTAATTAAATTAATTGATAATATTATTGTTCCTAGTGCCTATTATTTGCTGAATTTATTGATCATGTCCCCTCACCGACAAGTTCTAATTAAACTTCAAATAGTAGTAAGTTATATTTGTCATTTCATTTACAATATAATAATTGTTATTTTAGTAATTAATTTAAGAATCATTATTTACTAAGTGTGTCAAACAATTACGTTAATCTACAAGAGATCAAAATTGTTTTTAAATATCTTATTTATAATATATGAGCTTTTTTTGTCACGTGACTGTGTAATAATAAAGTAAGGACCACGTGAAAATAACTGACAGTATATATTATATAATCCCAAAAATGAGTTCCTCTCTTTACACGTTCACAAATGCTAGTGATGTTGACGCTGATAATCATAAATCTGTGTCAAATTTTTTTTTTTTTTTATATTTCTTTTTATATATAATAGTATAAATAGAAGTTCATAAATCTATTTCTCATGCCAAAATATGATTCGTTTTGAGTTGTTACTCACATATATATTAAGAAAACTAATAATCGCGAAATCAGTCCACCGACACCCAATCTCCACAACTATAACAAAATCAAAATAAAATTTCAAATTCCACCACACTACACAAGAAAAAAGGAACATCTAAAATCCAGCTTAAAAGTTGCTGATTATAGTAATACAGTATGTTGTGGAATTTTAAATCCTATAAAATATGGTAAATTACAACTACCCCTGAGGTAAAATCTATTAACAAAAAAACCCCTAATTTGTTTCATAATTACATCCACCCCTGTAAATTTGTAGATTTCTTACATCTATACCCCTTTTACGGGGTGAATGTAAGAAATTTACAAACTTAGGAGGCTGGATGTAATTTCTCAAAAGGAAGAGTTTTTATAATTTACCCCAGGGAGGAAGTTGTAATTTACTCTATAAAATATTACACATTCTAAATGTATACCTGAAAAATAAAAATAAAAAGAAAATAAAAATATTAAAAATAAATAAATAAAATAAGAAAAAAGCAATCAAGTTGATTTAGCTTTAGGAGAAACAGATGCACCGGAAACTGAACAAAACCCAAACCTCCGGCGATCGGCCTCCATTTTCCCGATCACAAAATGCCCCAACGAATCTTTCACTTCAACCAAATTCTCTCTGCAGAGAAACTCATCGCTGCAAACTCTCTCCACTTCTCTCTCGAATTCGTGAACAAACACGTGCGTCTCACGAGCGCCGCCCCTTTTGCTCCTGGCCAGAACTCCGGCGGTGAACACCGCCATCATTCTCCCCGGCGCCGCGCCGGAGTATCCCCGGGGGCCGTCCACGAGAATCGCGTCCCAAGCGACGTCGTAGATGTGGTTGGGCAAGTCGTTTATGGCCAATTTGCAGTCGGAGAAGAGGAGGTTCTGCACGGGGCGGCACTCCTTGGTGACTTCCCCTTTGTAGTGCTCGATCAGATCGTACAATTCGCTGACCTTCGTCGTGAATTGAACGTCGTACGCTTCGATTGAGGGGTGCTTCTCTTCCAATTTGGAGATCAGATACGCGCTCTCGTCGACGAACACGGTGCGCCCCTTGTGGTTGAGGGATTTCCAGAGGAGTGTCTCGTGCGTGAGGCCGAAAACGAGGAGGTTGCAGGGGGCGGCGCAGCCGCGGAGGACGGAGGCGATGTGGCTCATCTCCACGGAGGACATTCGGCCGGAGGAGGTGGCGTTCGCGGCGGCGTAGTGGAGGAGGGCGTCGAATACAGGGTCGGGTAGCTGGGATTTTGCCCTCGCGGCGGCGCTAGCGGCTGCCTTTGCGGCGGAGGCGGCGTCCCTGGTGGTCAACAGCGTGAACGCGAAACTGAAGATGAAGAACAGTACGAAAACCGCGAGCCACGCCCGATGGGAGGCGGCGGTGGGGCCTCCGCCGCCGCCGGTGGTCTTGTGTACGGAAGGGTGGAGAACGATGAACTTGGCGCTGGTCTTCATATGAATGAATGCAGGGAAGGTGTTTGATAAAATTACCAGGAGAGCAAAAGAAACTGAAAAAAAAGGAATTGATTAGTAGTGATGGAGGAAGGGACAAAAGGTTTCAGTTTCTCTCTTTAAATCTCACATGCTACGAATTTAAGATACTGGCACTGGTTACTATGTGTGTGCTCTGTGTGCTGGTACTAATATATTCAATTCTAACTTTTTCTTTTTACTTTTTTTTTTTTTTTTTTAATTTTATTATTATTATTTATGAGATAAATAATGGGGAAATGATTTGATATGCAAATAATGGGAAATTTGAATTTGGGCCCAAATTTTAAGAAAAATGGGAGGAGGGGCCGGAAAATAAATCCCACCGACTGATTGACAAATGATTTCAATGAACACCACAAATTTTGTCTATACAAATTCTAGTCATTCTTGAAATTGTACCACAGTACAAATTTGATTGATGGTGGGTTTTCTTGTGTAAAATTAACTCCGCAAATTACACTCACGATAAACTAAGTTAAATTGCAAAAAAAAAAAAAAAAAAATTACGTTATTAAATTTACCTAAATATATAAGTGGGTTTTCGTAATTTGATTTTGCTTCAGGAGTGGTCCTAATTTACCAGAATAAATATGACCAAAATAAATTTACCTGATAGACCAACCAAAGAAAAGAAATATCGTGTGCTTTTCGATAATAATAAGGCGAATTATGAATATCTGGATTATTAAAATAAAAAATTAAGTAAAATAACTGTTTGAAATTATTTTTGGTTACAAATTTATTGGGGTAAGAAAAAGAGAGAGAGGGGGTCAAAGTGAAATTTAGTGCGCAACTACATGTGCAGAACAATTCGGTGGGGAATTTTAATAGGGATTTGTGAGTGAAAAATGGCTTGAATTAAGGGAGTGTGTCTGATTTGCTTTTATAGCCACAAATTATTAAAAGTTCAATAAATGGAGAATCCGAATATTATTAGGAATGAATTTAATTACATTATCAGAAATTACTAAACACGAAAGATTATGCTAATCCCCATTCATTGGATTGCTATTGTTGGGAGTCAATTTTGCCTAATTTGTTTGATTTCCCCTTAATTAAACCATGTCTTATTTTATCCCAACCAATGTTTCAACTCAAAATCAAGAAACGTGTCTCGTTTTACTTGTTTCGTTTTGTTTTCTAACGAAAGAATCTGGCAACCAATCATATGAGTGCACTGAATAAACCTACACTCTCGTGTAATAACTTACAAATTATACAAGAGACGTAAACCACAAACTCTTTTTCTTCAACCGTCAAGTTATTCCCTACTGGACACATTTTTTTTAACTTCTCGTATTATTTAAGTTTAATGTGGTCAATGAGTGAGATATACGCACCTATTAGCATCATGGGGCAGTGACAAAACATAAGTACAAACTTGAACATGTAACATCAATACTAATTATTATGTGAACCCAAAAAGGACTTATGTTAAAATGATATGATGACTTTTTTTTTTTATTAGCCATGCCTAAATGGATAATATAAATATTATCATAACGGTCAGTAAACTGAGACAAAATTATGATAAACCAAAAAGTTGTTCATATAAATTTCAAAAAAAATAATAATCGCATTGATAAAGGAAGTAATTATTGTTTAATCTTTGTCATTTTTTAATTAATTAATTAATTAAATAATAAACCTAGAATAGGTTTTTAAAAGATTTGAACTTATGAACTGTGAGGGCAAAACTTAGAAGGCCCAATAGTGCAGCGTCAACATTTATCCAAGCCCATAAAAATATTTCTAACGTTGTACATGTTTGTCGATAAATAAATGGGCTCATACCATATTTCCCTTCATAAACACACATTCGTATTTATTATAAGCCCAAATTACGGCCCCATTGAGACAATGTCAAATTACGAAAAACTCCTCAAAGTTACAATTATTACTTAACTATAAAGTTTCTTACACGTCCACTCTTATGGTGTTAAATTCAACATAATCTTCTAGATTCCATAGAATGTTCTCTAGTTTGTATTTGTTTTGTGCAAAAATGCAGTGTTTGATGTACCACAATCTGAAATTTACAAGCTAAGACACATATTTTAAGATCATCTTGTTTCAAAATATGGAGCTCCAATGGGGTAAAATGGGTTCAAACTGAAAAATATTCCATATAATCTAATAGATTCCAATAAATTTGACACCGCGAGGGTGAATATGTAATAAAATTCATAGTTTAGCGGATAATTATAATTAACCAAACATGAATTTTTTTTTCTATAATTTAATCATACCTCAGAGCTGATTGTAATTTATCGATAAATAAATAGGCTAAAAGCCTAAAGGCTAAAACCATATTTCATACAAAGTTCATAACCATCAAAAGATATATTTTTGTAATGCCGAAATACAAACCACTAAAATCATTCAAACCCCTGTAAGAAATCAAACGGTGTCCTGTTTTTTAGAAGGAGGAACATAAACACTCAATTCTTGAATCAAATCATTCAAACCCTTATAAGAAGATCCACCTTCTCCAACAGCCCTTCTAGCCATCTCCTTATATCCCTCCACTCTGTTCCTCATCTCCTCCGCCTCTTCCCCCACCATCACCCGCCGCACCGCCTCCGCCACCGCCTCTCTCGAAACACCCTCGCTCCCCACTCTCATCCACTTCTTATTCCCAACCGAAACCCCGACCCTCAACACCTCCACCACCAGCTTCTCGTTATAAAACTGCTCCGCGAAAACCGGCCACGTCACCATCGGCAGCCCCGCGCATATCCCCTCCAGAGTCGAATTCCACCCGCAGTGCGTCACAAACGCCCCGACCGCCGGATGACCGAGGATCGCCACCTGTGGGGCCCACCCCCTTATGATCAGCCCTCTTCCTTTCACTCTCTCCTCGAACCCTTCCGGCAGCCACTCTTCGTCGTCGTGCTTCCCATTTCTGACAACCCAAATGAAGTCTTGGCCCGAACCCTCGAGCCCGACTGCAGTCTCGTGTAATTGCGCGGGAGTGAATGTAGCTATGCTTCCGAAACATGCGTAAACAACCGAATTCGGCTTCTTCGAATCGAGCCACGACAAGCATTCGTGTTCGTCGATGGCGGATTCTCTTCCCCTGCTCTCCGGTTTTTCTTCGTTTTCGTTGTTGCGTAACAAGAGGGGCCCGATATGCCATGCCTTCCTGCCCAAGACATTCTTGTAGTGATCGGCGTAGTCGGATTCGAGCTCGGTGAAGCTGTTGAAAATAACGCCGTAGCTCTTCTTATCCGATTCCCTCATTTGCTTCCTCAGCTTCGAGAATTCGTTTTCTTCGTCTTCGAATAGTTCGAACTCCGGCACTTGTGACCTAGTGAACGTCAGCTCGTGAGGTAGGTTAGGCACGGAAAACGGCTCGGCATCCGACGAGACATTCTTGTAAGGTTTGTGGATATGCATTTGCTCCGCGACGCATTGCGCGAAGCAGTTGGTTCCGTGGAAGACCAATCTCGGGATACCGAATTTGGCGGCCGAGTCAGCAGTCCAAGGCAAGAACATGTCCGAAACTAGACAGTTGGGATTGAGTTCTTGCAAGAGTTTCTCGACCGGTTCTCGGAGCAACGATAGGGCTTCGACGAACTTCGGGATCAAATCGGGAGTCGACATTTGGTCGAGGCTGACTACGTTGTCCGGCAATGAAGATCCTTTTGGCGGGAACTTGAGGATGCTCAAGTTGATGGCGTGGCCGGATTCTTGGGCTTTCGTTATCGGGCCCGCGAATGCCGGGGTTGCGATTATGGTGGTTTTGAGACCTCTTGAAGTGAATAGCTTTGCCATGTCTAGGGTTGGGATTGTGTGCCCATGTGCCATTACCGGAAGAAAGACAATGTGTAGTTGTCCCATTTTTTTTTTGGTATATGATATGATGTAAGAGAAAGTTTGTGGATTGAATTGAAAGAAAATGAAAGTTGTGTGAATGTATATATAGAGTTGGTGAACATGTGATTCTTTTGTTCTTGAATTGCTGAATAATACTTGGGGGATAAGAAAAATGTAGGAATTTTTTTTTCGAGGATTGTGTTTGTGGAAGTTGGGTGACGTAATTGCTTACGTCAGTAGGGGCACTTTTTGGGTAGTGCTAAAGGTTGGGGGCCTGCCAGCAAGAAAACACTTTTTTTCTCTTCGAGGAAATTTAATTGACCAGTATCGTATAATATTGTAGTTCACATGTTATTGGGTTCTCAAAATGGATTTCAATTTCGTTCTTGCTTCGCTTTTCAATACTTTATTTTATTTTATTATTAATGTTTGTGGGGGCCACACTTTAATCATTCTCTAATGGCCGTTTGATCTCCAATTGTTTGGTGACAACTTCTTTCTTTTTCTTCACACCTCATCGATGACGAATCTTTTACTTTGAATATAACAATTCTTTTTTCATTTCACTTTTTCATTAACAATTTTAAAAGTTTCTTTTCTCTATAGACATGAGTTAACTGATACTATCAGTACACCATTTCACAATTCCTCAGATTTGTAAATTTATCGAATCACAATATCCAATTGTGTAACTCTAAAAGCGAAAGAAATAAATTTACTGTAATGTTAGGGTTTAAATTTGGACGAAACTAATTTTCAACGGACTATGCAATTTGTTAAGAACAATAAATTGAACCGTCGGATCAAAATGATTCATAACGGCTCTTGGCCTGCAATATGAATTTGTCAAAACTTCTCCTCCTTCTCATCTTTCTTATTCATTGGTCTTTAGGTATTTTGTCCGTCTATGCATGTCGATAACTGGTTCGTCGTTCCACTTGATAGGGCCAACCATGATGATTAGACAAATATGTATTAATAAAATAACATGTTAAATTGATACAAATTGAAGCAATTATAGTTAAATTTACATAAGAAAATTGTAGTCTATAAATGTAATTAGTACTTATAGTTGCACAATTTAAAAAAATAATTAAAAAAAGCTTTCCATTTTTATAATTGGAAAATGGTCATTTTGAAACTTCCCTAGTTGAATTCCCCCGGCCCGAATAAGGAATATGCCCGTTGGACCAACTGAAGCTTCAATTATACTAAAGCCCACAATTAACAATAGCAAGCCCATATCCAATTGCTACTAAATCAAGGCCCAATTTTATGACACGTTTTAAGTTTTAATTCATAAAATTATTAATTGTATTATAATTTTGCAAATTTAATTTAAAATATATATGTTGCCAATTTGCCATACATAATAAAATTTATTGCCTATTCATATAATCAAATTATTATTGCAAGATTGATTTAAATATGACAGCATCTCTTAAAAGCTTTACAAAATGAGATTTTCCAATTTTAAAATATGGAAAGCTTTAATTAATCATATTTTTAGAATTTATAGATTACGTAATTATTAACTAGAATCAATAATTTGCTTTTGATAATAAATAATTTGTATTATTTAAATCATTCTACATAGAGAATTTGGGGTTACTTCATATCATCTCAACCCGCTTACCATAATCCAACGGTGTAAATTCGTAGTACAGATTATCTAGGATAGGACCGCTGCAGATGATTATTCCCCAGCGGCCTACTATAAATTACACCGTCCCAATTTGCGCAGTAGTAATACCGCACTCCAATTTTTCTCTCCTTTTTCCGTATTCGCCATTTTCCGGCGTCAGCGGCCGCAGCTGCAGGCGGCGCTCCTCCTACCCACCGTCGGATATCCGACCAATGTACCCTTCCCTCTCCTCTATTTTTTAAGAACTGAAAAAAAAACAGGAAAAAAAGAAGAAAATCCGACGAAAAAATCCAGAAAATCTCAGCCCGATTTTGTTTCTAGCCTCTTTCGCGCAAATAAATCTTATTTACAATTAATTTTTTTTTTATTTCTTATATTCCGATAATAAAAGAGGAGAGGGAAGTAATTAGAAAAAAAATAAAAAAAAAATTACAAAACTCTTCAAAAGGAAAAAAAAAAAAAAGGAAAACTCCGCCCCCAATTATTTTAGGTTTTTATTTCTGGAGAGATGGCGGCGCAGGTTCAGGTGCAGCAGCCTCAGGTGCAGGTGGCGAATGTAGCGTCTTCTGGTGGCGCGCCGCCTGTGACGTCATTGTACGTCGGCGATCTGGAAGCGAACATCACCGATTCGCAGCTCTACGATTTGTTTCAGCAGATTGGGGAGGTTGTCTCGGTTAGGATTTGCAGGGATTTGACTAGCAGGGAGTCGCTAGGGTATGGCTATGTCAACTACGGTGACCCTCAGCATGGTTAGTACTCTAATTTTCCGCTCGTATTAGCTAATTAAGTGTAATTAGGTCAGTTATTTGTGCTGTGCTGTGTTCAGTTTTAATGCACATTGTTGTGTTGGTTGCATCCGTGATGCAAATTGTTCAATAATTTCAGCTTGAGTAATTGGCTTGCATGTCTGTCTCGTTTGTATGTAATGATGATTTTAGAGAATTTTTGTGTTTCGAATGTGCAACTACTGGAATATTCTGAAAATTGCATATCCAAGTAATATTGGGGTGAGGTGGGTGCATATATGGGCTCGGTTACATATCCAGGTCGAGTCAATCTTTGGGTATGCCCTAGTTCTTATCGAAGACTGAGCATAGGGCAGCATTTAAGCTACACAGAGAGATAAACAAAATTTCCTCAACCTTCTCCTCACGAAGATTTTCATTGACAAAGCATCTAACGATTAACTTCAGCTATCTATATAATTGTGTTTCTTAAATTATCGGACTACATTGTATTTAGCATTTTTTGTTGTTTGTTTATGCTATGAGTGACATGGCCTTCTTGTTTAAGTATTTTCGTTTCCGGAATATTGTGTCCAAGTCACGAGTCTTATTATAAATTTTGGTTGATTTCTTTTTGTTGGTCATGTGGTCTTGGCTATTGTTATTCTTGTTGAGATTGAGACCCGCCCTTGCAGTTGTTTTCACATAGATTTTGTATTGTTCATATCACAAGCTAGTTTACGAGGAAAATCGACTATGCTCGTCTAATATATAATTGATAACTCCCTTATCCAACAGGAATTTAGCTTTTAAATTGCATGGTAGTTGAATACACAGTTTTTTTTAAAGAGGATTGGGGCACATGGCTTGTTATTCATGACATTACCTTAGATTGAGAGAAAAACATATGCTCTTGAGAAGAACATGTTTTAGATGGCGTGCGTTTATATCAATTATTCCAGCCTCAAAAGATATATGTTTCCAGTCAGATCTGTGGAATTGCTTGGTCGTGTCAATTTATGACACAATTTAAGTTGATTGCATTTGTTGCCATTGTTGTTAATTAGATTATTATCGAATGAATTTTAAATTATATTATACAGATCTTCACCTATTTCACCTTACAAATGTAATAAGAGTTTTTTTTCATGTTAATTTTAGCTGAGAGAGCTCTGGAGGAGCTGAATTTCACTCCTTTCAATGGGAGACCTATTAGAATCATGTATTCCCATCGAGACCCCAGTGTTCGTAGAAGCGGTGCTGGAAATATATATATTAAGGTAATATTTCCCTTCCTAGTTTTTATTAGGCAGCATGCTTTGAACGTTAGGTACTTAGTTTATGAGATTCCGTATTTCTGGGAGTATTATGATTGAAATGTTATTGCGTTGCAGAATTTAGACAAGGAAATTGACCATAAAGCTCTACATGATACATTTTCGACCTTTGGGAACATTCTCTCATGCAAAGTGGCGACAGATTCTTCTGATCAGTCAATGGGATATGGCTTTGTGCAATATGCTAGTGAGGATTCTGCCCAAAGAGCAATTGAAAGCCTCAATGGCATGCTTCTGAACGGAAAGCAAGTCTATGTGGGACCATTCCTGCGCAAGCAAGAGAGAGAGATGTCAGTAGACAAGACAAAGTTTAAAAACGTGTTTGTAAAGAATTTGTCTGATTCAACAACTGAAGCCGATCTTGATAAGATATTCGGTGAGTATGGTTCGTTAACCAGTGCTGCGGTGATGAGAAATGAAGATGGAACCTCCAAATGCTTTGGATTCGTGAACTTTGAGAGTGCAGAGGATGCTGCTAGAGCTGTTGAATCTCTCAATGGCCAGAAATTTGATAACAAGGAATGGTATGTTGGCAGAGCCCAAAAGAAATCTGAGAGAGAAATGGAACTGAAACACCGCCTTGATCAGAGTCTGAAAGAAGCGGCTGAAAATTCCCAAGGGACTAATCTATATGTCAAAAATCTGGATGATGGCATCGATGACGATAAACTTAAGGAGCTGTTCTCTCCATTTGGTTCAATAACATCATGCAAGGTTAGTGGACGATTCTCTTTGGTTGGAAATTATCAGCACACATCATTAATAAATGTAATCATTAATATAGGTGATGCGGGACCCAAAAGGAATAAGCAGGGGATCAGGTTTTGTTGCATTCTCGTCACCTGACGAGGCTAATAGAGCTGTGAGTTTAATTCTCTGCACTATCCTCGTTTTATGCTTCCTTACATGATTATTTATTAATTAAGGGAGCTTAAATAATGGTTTTTTGTAGCTTTCTGAAATGAATGGTAAAATTGTTGTGAACAAACCTCTTTATGTTGCTCTCGCTCAAAAGAAGGAAGATAGAAAAGCTCAGTTACAGGTACTCCATTTTTAGAGGCTTTCTTGTTCTTCTACGTAATCGAAGTGTCATAATTGAAGTTCATTGCTGTTTTTGTTTTCATTCTCCAATTATAAAGTCTTTCTTGTTCTTATGCGAGTGGCCCATAGCCTTGGTGTCCTCATGTTATGCTGATTGAAAACAGCTTTAAACAGAGTTATATGCTTATCATTTGTATTACAAGGTAGTGTTAGCATTAAAATATTAATGTCTGCAATCGTTTGATCCAGGCTCAATTTTCTCAAATGAGGCCAACTGCAATGGTGCCTTCTGTCAATCCTCGTATGCCAATGTACGCTCCTGGTCTAGGGCAACAAATATTCTATGGACAACCTCCACCAGCCATTATTCCTCAAGTAATTATATTCTTCACGCTGTACTTGTATTGTTAATATTTCCGTTTAAATTGGGTATCAAATGTTAAGAAATATGTCTACAATAACATAACCTAAAGTATGTTTATATAGGCTAAAGTTTTCAGTGGTACCACATAATGTTTCAAAATGTCCAGTTGCAAATGAATTTGAAATGCATCTTTTTCTATCGAGTTACCTCAGTTGATATAAAATTCAGACAACGTTAAAATGATTGAAAGATTTTGCCAACTTATTCCTCTATCTTTAATATTATTTCTGTTCAGCCGGGTTTTGGATATCAACAGCAACTTGTTCCTGGTATGAGGCCTGCTGGGCCTTTCATGCAGAATATGTTTGTACCTTTTGTCCAACAAGGGCACCAAGGTCCACATCCTGGTGGCAGGCGAAACAATGCGTTTCCAATGCAACAAGGCCCACAGCCAGTCCAAATAATGCCACAGCAGGTTTGTTTGCCTCAATTGTGTGATTTTCTGCTTGGAACTTACCCCAAAAGCCGATTTTCACTAAAAACAATTTTTGCCGTGTCACTTTCTAACGGATCTTTTTTCGATAATTAGTAAGAAACTGTCTTTATTAAATAAGTATCTTTCATGTAGATGAATGAATAAGTCCATTGATTTAGTTTTACATTCCTTTCACTTATTCCATATACTCGCGCATATATATTATATATACTTTTATTTCTAATAATTATAAGAATTTTGCAAATGGAATTAAAGAGTTGATATCCTTCTAATGCAGATGGTTCCAAGAGGGCGTGGGTATCGCTATCCTGGTGGACGGGGCATGTCTAATGTTTCATCGCATGGAGGGATGTTTTCTGTACCATACCAAATGGGAAACATGCCATCACATGATGGGGGAATGTCTCGCCCGACCCCAATTGGAGCTTTGACATCCGCTCTTGCAAATTCTTCACCCACTGAACAGAGGACGGTTAGCATTCTTAGCTTCTTTTTGTAGGGTAGTTGTATATATTATTAGGCTTTGCTCAATATGGTATTTTAACAAATGATTAAAGATGGAATATTTTGCTTTTTCCCTGTGTTAAACTTCAGTGTCTTTTCAATTGTCTAGCCATGAAATTTTCCCCGTCTCGAAGTTACCTAATTAGGCAATGTTATGGTAGCATTTCTATTTTGCTTTTCAGAAACCTTGTCCAAAACAATTCCAAAAATATAAATCAAGTCCAAAGTAAGCGCATGAACAACTTCCAAATTCTTCCCCCCAAAACATGTTTCCCCAAAATAATATGAAAATGACCCCCAAACGCATTGTCAGTGCTTCTAGTCTTTTAGCAGTTCTACATGACATCTATGGTGGAATTTTGTACTTTTGCTGTCTTGTCTAGCTGATTTCTTGAACATTGATCGTGTGTGTGTGTGTGTATAGTCGTGGATGTATACCGGGCCATGTTTAAAAAGCCAACATATTTGGTAGTTAAAAGCAAAATGATGATATAATTAGACTGATTTCATATAAAGAATTCAGTCCAGCTGATATTTTTTTGAGCTCAAATTTGTCTAATGCAGCATTCAAATATTTTTAAAGAAACGAAACTTCTTGAGAAACATTTACAAGTTAGCTTAAAATTATAATGCAGCAATTCCTATGAGAACCATCTCATATGCAAGATGTCTAATATTGAGATACGTGCCGTTCTTTTAGTGCGAATGATATTGTATTTGATATGAAACCTAATGATAATTGCACTCTCGTTTCTGATGGTTTTACGATATAATTTATTGACAGCAAACATGAATATCTGTTTTATTACGCAGATGTTGGGTGAAAATTTATACCCACTTGTTGAACAATTGGAGCCTGAGACAGCTGCTAAGGTGACTGGTATGCTCCTAGAAATGGATCAGACAGAGGTTTTGCACTTGTTGGAGTCGCCAGAAGCACTCAAGGCTAAGGTTGTGGAGGCTATGGAGGTTCTGAGGAATGTGTCTAATGATCAGGCTACCAAGCAATTGGCTTCTTTGTCGTTGAAAGAATGACACTACTTACTTCACTTTTTTTTTTTTAAACATGGGGCTTCTAAACTATGACGTGAATGGTTTCAAAACTATTTGGTTTTAAATCTTGACTCTGGGCGCAAATTGATCTTTTTTTGGCCCAAGGTGTTTTAAAGTTCGGGATCTAATTCGTGTCTTTGACATTTGATTGTTGGCTGATTGAATAACTATGGATTTTAATTTACAATGCCGACTCTTTTGGACATTATAATCGTGTTTCTATTGGTATATCTTTTTTTTTATATTTTTATTTTTCGCTGAATCTGCTTCGAGAAGGCCACGCACTAAGATCCAAACTGCTGCGCACATCCCTACACTGTATTTTGCATACAGTTATGCTGTTGTACGTATCATACTTAGATTTAGAAACAAGATTCTGCAATGTCGTGTTCAAAGAAGAAAATTAAAATTTCATCCAGCTTTGTTAGATACGAATCATTGGAAATTGGCTCCAGCACACTAAATACTAATTATCAACACCAAGTGACCTCTTCATTCACACAGTCGAACTAGTCAAAATAAGTTCTCTCACTACAAGACTTTGACGAGTCATATTCACAAATAACTATTTCTTACATTAGTTTTTTGACCAGCTCTCTGCAAACGCCTACTAACAAGAGTAAAAATCGACCATTTTGAACCGACAATGAAATTCAAGCATCTTGCCTGACAACAACATGCCTCTGCCTCATACCTACATCATCAGCCGCAGCAGCAGCTGCTTCCCAATTATTTTGATTCTCACCAGCAATTAAAACTTGGTTCTCAGATGCTGCAGATGCTGCTGCAGCAGCAGCGGCACTCCTCCTCGCTAAGGTCTCCCCATAATTATGAAGTCTACGCCCAATCAAGTAACGGTCATCGCGAATAGAATTATGGAGATTTGTGAACCAAACATGGAAACGCTTCCCGCAGAAATACACCACGCTGAATATTAGACACCCTAACCAGGCGAATCGGTAGACAGCTGAATTCACCACCAATGGGTACCCGAAAATAGGGAACACCCCTCGAGATAATACGTAGGGAACACACAGTGCGGTGAGCAGCTTCATTATTATTGGAAATACAATCTCTCGCAGAATCCAAAAACCTTGCAGCCTCGAGAATCCGTCATCCCTTACCCTCTCGAATTTCAGTCGCCAGCTCTCGTCCATTAACGGCATCATGTGATCCAACATAACCTATTAAAAAACAAAATTTAAATCCAATAACGAAGCGAAAACACAAATACTTCTAGTAACATGTGTAATAATGCAAAAATAACAGTATATATGCTTTGATGCCCTCACCATTCTAGTCCAGATCTTCAAAAAGATTAGTCCAAGAGCCCAATCCTGATACAAAAGGAAAACTGGGCTTTCATCCACGGGGACCCGCATTGGAACGATGACGAGAAGCTCAAACAGCAGCCCGATTAATACTGGAATAACGAATATCTGACACACCAAGACAATATACATGTTAGTTTAACTATATAGTCCAGTGTTATTTATTCATTTAAAAAAAAAGTAACTTACCCATATTGACAACAGAGCAAAACTCTTGAGAATAATGCCACACCATTTCCATATCTGGTTCAGCAGAAATCTAGTTCTCTTTGTTCTAATGAGGTCAACGCAGTATCTTGCTCCAGCCAACCCAGTCCAAATGACATAGCTTCCAATGACAAAGGCGTAAAGGTCTGGAGAAGTCCAAGAAAAAAGGATATAAGATTTATGGCATTTCAAAGAAAATGCAGGAGACTTGATTGGGATACTCTTACCATTGCATTTGATGCCATGAGTTATTGGGAGAAGTGGGAGGACATTGAAAAGAGTTCGTCCAAGTGAAATAGGTATAACTACCAGAGCGGAGTTGAACACAAGCAAAGTCATCCAAGCCACCACCAACAGTAACACAATTCGGAGTACAAATGCCCACCTGCTAAGAGATTCAACCAAACAACATAAGGCAGTGGTCGCGTGGTACCAAAGGCTTACAACAATGAAGAAGCTACCCACAAGCGTTGTACCAAAGTTCATCAAGAAGCTACCCACAAGCAATGGCTCCAAATACAGAAACTAAAAACTACTATAGATACTGATACCAAAAGGTGCTAAGACAATTATTGATGAACTTTACCAACAAAATCAGAAGTGAATAATTCCGCTAAAGCCGTAAAAAAGCCAAACATATAAAACAAATGTTTCTCAATATTTACCAACCAGTAAAGAAGAGAGTTTCTTTGAAGACCAAGGAGAAAATATAAGAGAGACAGAAACACATAATAGAGAAATTCACCCTACTGATTTGCTAAAAAAATCCCCTTATGCAACAATTCTAGAAAACAAGAGAATCATAAATTAGTTTTACCCAAGACTTCACTACTACCAAAACTACAAGAAACCGACAATTTCATCTTAAACTTCTATAAAAAAATTCACATAGGTCAATAGAGGTTGAATTTTGGTGTGTGCTACATCAGAATGACAAATATTAGAAGAAAAACAGCAAACAAGACAACAGATAGTTGCAATCTGGTCAACTTGGTGCTCAAACCACATTCATGATCTAAATTACATGCATTCACCTTCCAGATCAGTTAATGAATACATGGAGAACAGAAAAGGTCTTAACACAGAACTTACTCTGGGTCAGCTGGTTCATCAATATCAATCTCCTCCGCAGAATTGGGATTTGGCACCACATGTCTGGCCATGTTCACATCATCAAGAGCTAGAACTTGTTCCTGACCAACTGCCGGTGCATGTCCTCTATCATGTCTTCCCTGATCCCCATTCCCATTTTCATGTCCAGCATTATCCTCTGGCTTTGGAAGTAGAAAATCTGTCAAACCAAGTGCCCAGCCAACAGCTGTGAACCAGTACCGGAGAAGGGACTTGAGAGTATGCCGTAATTTGAAATGCTCAATAGCAAACGGAATGCATATTTGAAAGAGAAGCATGTCAGCCGGAATTTCAGTAAAAGGATCAGATACACTGCAGAAAAATGAAGTGTCCAATGATAAGTTAGAATAAAGATGGTATTTAGCAGAAAAAAGAACAAACTTCATTAACCGTTGAGCAATCTTACGAGATATCCAGAGGGAAAATTGATGGAACCATACGCATCGCGAGTTTAACTGGCAAAAATACTAGCATAACTATCAAACTTCCGTATACAGCAACAGAAAGTAAGACTCTACGAGCATGCTTGTGCACAGGGTCATCAATCAGATCACGAAATGGGTTATAATTAGGATCAGCAGGATCTCGAAGGAAGTAGAGAACCCCATTACGCAAAACCTACAGTATATACACATGGATTTAGAATAAAAAACGCCTTACTGTGACAAAATATGCATTAGTAGCTAGTAAAATTTTATACCCCTCGGAGAAGGCTGACGAAGATACTTATCTGCAGCATGTAAACAATTCCCACGACCCAATGAACCAAGGAGCTTGCCAGTGGCGAGACTGAGAAGAACTCAACTCTCTGAGAAATTGACTTGCCAAACATCCTTATAGTACAAACATCCAGCCACCACCCACACATCAGAGGAAAAACCCCAAGCTCAATGACCAGAAGGAAAGCAACTTTGATCATAGTCATCAAGTGTCTCATAGCTGCCACAAACTGTCTGAAGAGGGATGGAATAGTTTCCGCAATGGAAGCAATACCGTAGAACCTTCCCATTGTCAAAGGCTCTCCTCTCGAGTACCGGATTAAAGTAATAATCCCAAGGTAGAATATGACAAGAGAAAATATAAACATGTAGCCAACAGCAAGAGTTGTAACATCAGAAAGACGCGATGCTCCAAGTGACTGCACTTTCAAGATGTCAGTTGCCATTGTAGAGTTAACGTTGTTTGACAGCTCAGTTTGTCCGGTTGCATTTGCTTCTAAAAACTCCGCAACCTGGCCGAGCAAACTCTTGTCCTGATTATCGGAGGTCAGATTCACAACTGCGGTCAACGCACTCTTTAGTGTAATATTGGCCAAAGAAAGTGCTGATTCAGTAAGTGGAACAACTGTGGATAAGACTGGATAGGTGGCAGAAGCCACAAGCCATGACAAATAATATAGTATAACCCGTCCTAATGAGAAAGGCACAAAAATTACAACTCCAAGGAATATCATATTGCTCGCAAGAACCTGCAAGATTCAAGAAGGAAGGAAAAGGTGGGGATGAATCAACCATTCTGAGCATAAAAGAAGAATATATTGGATGCAAATCTGAGTCTGTCAGGAGTATGGCCATTATTAATTACTAAAATTAACAGAGACAGAATCCAAATGCAAATGCTCAGGTCAGATAAGAAAAAAACCGGCGATGATATAAACACTATAACGGCGAATAACTAATCCAAATACTTTCTTGCTGTAGTACTGACAATTCTAAGAAAAATAGAAAAAATCAAATGACAGCAGTTGATGAGACAAAATAGTCAAATATTGGCACGGAAACCGTCAACATGATTAGGCAAAACACTGTAGTACGGATCGTGGAAAGAATATAAGATAAAGTGAGCCAGAGAAAGCATTCTACCCAGCAATGAAGACTCAAGGAGAAAACAGATTCATGTTCCCATGTAGGGCCAAAAGAGGCTAAAATGAAGTAGATATCAAAAGACTCACCGTGAATGCATTTTCAACCAGATGAAACACAGGTCCCTGCATGCCAACCAGTTCATCAAAAGGTACATCCTCAGCACCATCAGCATCATCCAAACCATCAAACATCTGCTCAACCTGGGCCTCAAGCCGAGCTGCTTGCATCTCCCACCGAGCTGCAACATTTTCTGCATTCCGACGGATCATCTGACCAGCACCTGCAATTCCTTGAGCTCCACCAGCATCCTCAACATTACCATCAACAGCAATATTTCTATTGGCTTGAGCTGCTTGCCTTCTTGCAGCACGAGCTCCATTTCTATCTGCTTCATCTTCTCTGGCAGCATCTTGCCCACCAAGCTCTCGTAAATGTCTAAAGTAATCTCTCAGGGAAGTTGCCCCGAGAAAAATGAATACAATGCTAGCGGAGAGTAGAAATCCGTGCAAACAGTCGGTGAGAATGACGGTTGTAGATAAGTGGCTCAAGAATAATCTTTGGGCTTCTCCAAAACTTCTAACAAACGCCAATCGCCAAATCCAAAACGTAATGAACGGAATAATGATAAGCCAAACAGAAAGTACAAAACTTAGGCGCAAAAAGAATTGCAGAACATGGCAGGCTTTCATAGCTATCCCAACAATAAATTCTTGGAAAGGAAGCCTTGCAGGGGCATTTTCAGCATAAACTGGAGAAAATGAAAACGGGTGTTTGCAAACCTGCATTGCGCATCAAAATACAAATGTCAGCGATGGATTGTACGTTCTGCTGACCACAATGATTCAATAAATCTAAAAAGGATGGGAATAGCATCACTGGCCATAGAGAATTCCAAATAAAGAGAACATAACTCAGCATATAGCAGTACATGGGAGCAATTAGCTGCTAAGATCACAATGTACGACATGCGTGTGTATATGTTAGTGACCTGGGTACTATGTTTCATTCAGACATAAGTTTCGATTGGACATCAAGCTCAGTTCTACATATATTCTTTTCTGTAGTAGTCTCAACAAATTCCTACGTACATATTCAAAATCTAGAATATTTACTAATAACTTATCAACCAAAAAGGAAAGAACAACAGCAACAAATAAATTAATTAATCAAAACATAAATAAATAAAACAAATCCATCTCTCCCATTTAATAATTACTTTTAGCTAAAAACTGAATTTACTTGAACAAAAGAAACTCCGCCAAATTTCATCATGCCACACTAATACCGCCAAAAAGAGCAAACTCAATATTTCAACAAACAGATGAAAACAGTCAATTCAATTACCACAAACGCAAGAATACGACGCCAACTAAACAGCTAATTATGAAATTCGCAAATATAAAACAACAAATTCTACTAATCAACAAATGGCATCACGTGAGTCTGAGTATTCAAACCTCGCACTGACGAGCGTTGCTGTGATTGAGCCACTGAAGAAGGCAATCCTGATGAACAAACTTGATGCTTCCGCTGCACGCGCAGGGATATCGCAGCGGATTATCCGCGTCGCCAGGATTTCTGCAGATCCGGCAAACATCCTCGTCGTCGTCATCCAACAAATCATACCTGCCAACACCGCTATTGTTGTTTATGTTATTACCGCCGCCGCTACTATTCTCGCCCGGAAAAGCACCGATCGACGACGTTGACGTTTCTAAAGAGGCTGCAGCAGCAGCAGCAGCAGAAAATGACCTGTCAGCCGCCGCGGTCGCCGTCTCCGGTCCGATCTCCATCGAGTCGGTGGAGAAACCGGTGGATCCCCTTTCTCTCTCTTAGGGTTTGTAGAATTTGTTGACGCCGTGTGAGAAGAAAAATAAAATCTAGTGCGGGGGTTAGTTATGAATTTATGATTTTACGAAATATGAGAGAAATATGGAATACGATAACATTTTTTTGGGGGGTCGGGACTAGTGATTGTAATTTAAAGGTTACTGCTGAGGATAAATGACGGATTCACCCCTGTTTTAATATTTCTGATTGTCTTGTGATGTAAGGGTATATCTGGAAATACAAAATTCGATTCAAGTCGGCCAGAATTTTCTTCCGGTCAACTGCGTTGATGAGAAAAGTTTTGACTATTGGGCCGATTGTTTCTAGACACTCTAAAATGAATATTGGGCCTAAGCCCTAAATTAACAAGGAAATTACTTTTAAACCAGCCTTTACTTTGGGCTCAAATCATACTACCCAATAAGACAGATATTTAACTACAATTGTAAATGTCATTAACATAAACAAAAAGCAAAAAAAAAAAAAGCCATTTACCAAAATCAATATTTTAAATTAATAATGAACTATTTAATGATCATGTACCAAAATATATATCTAACAAATATCACATAGTTACACTAGCATCTTTAGTACATTCATATGCGTGTAGGAGTGTGAACGAGTCGAGTTCGGTTATTTTTGCATGCTCGAATCGGCTCATCAAGCTCACGAGTTGGCTCAGCTTGTTTACCACACATATGTGTGTGCTTGTCAAATTAAAAACGTATATATAATTGTATATTTTATAATCTTAATTTATTTAGCACCAAATTGACTCAGGGCCTCTGTTTGATTAAACTTATTTTAAACAGCTGATAGTTTTTTACATGCGATAAATTGTTTTAACATATGATAAGCTATTACGTTTTTGTTTTGAGACTCGAGATATTATTATAAAGTTTTGTGAGCAATGATTAAGGCTTTGAAATTAGGAGGACTCAAACTCAATTAAAATTTACACACACACCAAAGATTCACTATAATCCAAACGAGTGAGATGTCAAGTCACATAGGAATTTCTTCTTCTTCTTTATTATCCCTTTTTCAAAAGATAAACAGCAAAAGTATGTTATCTACTCAATTAGAGAAAGAAAAAGAAAGAAGCACCCAAGAGAAGAAAAATAATATTTTAATTAATGATCATATAAAAAAGTTTATCCCAAAACACAGTTGATTCCATCCTAGGAAAAAGGTGTGTCCACACTACCACTTTCAAAGGGTAGTAGGACAAATGTTGCTTTAGAAAAGGAAAAATATTAAATATTTACGAAATCATTGTGTCGATAAAATGTTCGTTTTTTAATAATAGTCGGAGTGTTTGCAAAAGCTTATTAAAAAATAGTGTAGTAAACTTTGAAATAATTGTTTGTTTCTAATAGTTGGAACTGTTTGTAGATGTCGTTAAAAAACAACTTCGAACTGATAATTTATATGGCCATGCGCTTGTAAATATAACTTTAATTTTTTCAATTTTATTTTGATTAATTATTTCAAATTTATATTTGGATTAAAAAAAATTTAATTAGTGCAAATATCCTATGAAATGAAATTAAATTGATTACAATATAGACTTCAAGACTTTATTATTATTTAATGAAATGACATCCGTTAGGTAAAGGGACATAATTATTTGTAGTATTTGTCAACATATGGATATCTAAGTGATTATTAAATTTTTTCTCTCTCCCAATAAAATAAGAAATTAGAATTAAATTTCACTAAAATTATAAACACGTACTTCAAAACTTGTTTTCCTTAATGAAATATCTTTGATCTTTCCAAAATTGAGGCGGAGCTAGGGGTGGTAAACGAGCCGAGCCGACTCGTAAGCTCGACGAACCGGCTCGAAAAAACCTCGAACTCGGACTCGAGGTTTTCGAGCTCGAGCTCGAGCCGAGCTCTCTGACGAGCCGAGCTCGAGCCGGATTTTAGTTGTTCATCAGCTCGCGAGTCGGATTTATTATTATTTTTTATATGTTATTTTTATTTAAATAATATATAATAATATAAAATATTATAGAAATAAATACCAATATTAAACAAATATAGAATCACAATTTAGTTTTTATTTCGTATTTTTTTTTAAAATAATTTTTAATAATAAAATAATAATTAAAAAATATTTAAAAAAAAAAAAAAGATTGGACTCGAGCTCGAGCTCGACAAAATTAACACGAGCTTGAGCTCGAGCCAAAAACAGAGGAACTCGACGAGCTCGAGCCAGCCAAAAAAGGCGAGCCCGGCTCGTTCACACCCCTAGGCTGAGCCAATATAGCGATTTGAAATTTCTTAAATATCTATTATTATATATATATATATACTTAAAAGAATTCCTCATAATTTTTTTAATGCATTCGACTCGCTCGACTTAACATTCTGGTTTCGGTGATACAAGTAAGTGCAATTCGTAAAACAATTGCAAAATATATAAGATTTTCTTATTAAAAAATTATAATATATTATATAGGGGTGGATTCGGTACGGTTGCCAAAAATTTGGCTCAATACCGTGTACCTACCGTACATTGCGGTATTGAAATATTTCATACCGTTACCGTACCAAAAAGTTCGGTATACCAATGTTCGGTATACCGTTATTTTCGGTACGGTACAATCGGTACGTGGTACTCTACCGTACTTGGTGATGCATCAAAGACTAAAGAACAAATGAGTTAAAAATATACATATATATCCCAATTGAAAATAGTTCTAGTTACTCTTGTATGAGTTGTATTTTATTTTCTAAGAAGGTCCGGTGTATAATCGGAATAATTAACATAATTTGCTTCATTGAAACAAGAACAAATGCCATAATAATGTAAATGTTGTTTAATGGAACAACTAGGTATTTGTTAGGAACTTGATTGTACTTAATAATTATTACATACAATAAATACTTTACCAATGCTATACATACATGTAGGTAAAAAAATAAAATATTCATACATCATATATAATAAAATTAGTTGGCTATAGAGAACATAAAAGACAATTTAGTAGAACATATATGTTCAATTGCAAAATTCAACTTGGTAGAAAAAAAGAAGAAAAAAAAAATACATTACCACTAACTTAAGGGAAAAATAATTGTTGCTATTTATAAGATTCTAAGTAACAAAATAGAATTACAAAAAATAATATCGAAAAAAACATATTAATCGGATTAAAATGTAAATTGCGGTACGGTACGGTATTAATACCGTACCGTAGACAATGGTAACCGTTCTTTCGGTAATTTTTCGGTAATCCTTGGTTGGTATACCATGGTATATGGTAATCGGTATTTTTTTTCCAGCCCTAATATTATACATAAAATGAATCATCATACATAAAAAGCCCTGAAAACCTCACATTCGACATCCTAAAGAAATGATGCAGTGTCTTTTCACATAACCTCAACACGTCACAATCATGCATGTATTTTTGTTGTATTCCAACTATTCGTATATATACTCTCCCAAAAGAATAAGAAATATACATACATACATATATATAAAATATAAATACATACAAAGCTTATATTGTAAATTTCTTAATCTTCAAATTAATTGAATTGTTTGGCCAACTAATTTCCATGTCTTAATATTATTATATGTCATTTAATTTCAATAAGACATTTAATTACTATTTTCTCAATTTTATATAATTATTTGCACCACTTCATTTTTTTTAAATACTCTGAATTCTATTTTAGGGTAAATAGCATTTGACCCCTAATAGTTACAAGTTTTTACAGATGAGTCCTTATACTAATATGAGCACATAAGTACTTTTGTGGTTGATTTATTTTTCTGTAATTGAATAATAGCCATATAACATTTTAACTACACATAGTACTATTTGTTTCAGTTCCTCATTCTTAACAGTTCACCATTGTTGTCGGTGGAGTTCAAAACCACACTTCAAAAAAAGAAAAAAAAAAAATAAATTAAAGGCTCTGTTGTGTTTTTATGACTCTCATAAGTTTCTGCGGTGGTAATGCATTAATTACACTCCAGGTTTTCTTCTCATCTATATATTATATAATATAATATTCTTTTTACATACATTTTTTTCCTCAGGCTGTGATAACGGCGTCGTGTTGCTCACTGAACCATACATGAATGCACAAAATTCTGCATATTTTACTTCTTTTTATATATCTCCTCCTATTAATATAATTATTAATGTTTTTTTTTTAATTCTGATGATGTAAGCATGCAGCATCATCTTATTACATGAAGTAATTATGAGAGAGTGTTTTTCTCAACTATTATAATTTTCATATATTTATTTATTAATTATAATAGTAGAGGAATGGAAAATTAAATTGTTGAGCTTTGGTTAGTTGCTCTGTCTTTCTTTAAAGGTATTCTGTCACTTCTATATATATATATATATATATATATATATATATATATATATATTGGCTTATATTTTTCTGCTTATTTTTTTGTGCAAACTTTAATGGTTTTTTGCTATTAATAATTACATTTATATTTTTCAGCTGGAGAACACATGTTGTAAAATGATGGTGGTTTCCTTTTGAAGAGCAAACCAAAATAATTAAAAAAAAAAAAATCAGCAATAAATTTCGGCTATTCGGCTTTTCGACTGAATCATGGACCAGAAAACTTGGTTATGGAGAAAAAGGTCATCAGAGAAGAGTATTGTTGCAATTGGAGAAGAAGTGAGTGAAATTGTTCCAAGTTTCGTTTTTTTTTTCGAAAATATATGCCCTTTCGTATTTTTCTCGTAAAATAATCGGATTTTTGTAATGTATGTGTTGTTTATTTAGGTACAATCAATTCCAAACCAAAAGGAGATAGATCTAGAGAGTACTGTGGAAGCATTGAATGAGGAATTGGCTTCAGTTCTTGATGAATGTTCAGCCAAACAAGAACTTGTCGAAAAATACAAGAAAACGGCAGAAAATGCTATTGCAGGTTGGACTATGATTTACGACATTCTTATTTTATTCGTCTTTGTTTTGAAAATTATCGGGTTAATTTCGTTGGCTTACTTGAAAATCGTACTCCAGACAAACACAAAGCAGACGAAGAAATCGAGCGCCAAAAGCACGAACTGCACGAAATTCGACAGCAGAGAGCAGCCGAAAGCGAAAGATTATTTGCAGATTTAAATTCCGCCTTGAAAGATTGCATGGAGCAGCTGAATCAATCTCGAAAAGAGCAGGATCAAAAAATCGAGTACGCGGTTAGTGAAAAATCGAGAGAGTTCGAAAAATCACGTAACAAGCTCGAGGAAAAAATCGGAAACCTAACTGCAGAGAGTTCGTATCTCAGTAAAGCTCTCATCGTGAAAGAAAAAATCATCGGAGATCTCAATCGCATCAAGAATCAAACGGAAGGCGAACTTGAAGTACTAATGAAAAGATTGGATTCGATCGAGAAAGAAAACGCTTTCTTAAGGTACGAGTTTCGGGCGCTCGAGAAGGAGGTTGAATTTGGGCGTTGTTCTCTAGAAGCTTCGAGAAAGAAGCACTCGGAGAATTTAAAGAAGATAAAGAAATTAGAAGGAGAATGCCAAAGACTGCGCGGTCTTACACAAAAGAAGCTTCCGGATTCTTCTAGTACGGTTTACTTGCCCGAAAACACGAGAAAAAAGATGGGTTTATTGGTTGATCAAGTGCGTGATTTAGAGAAGGAAAACAAGGTTCTCAAAGAATGTTTGGCTAAGAAAGAGGAGGAAGCTTTCTATAGTCGGAAATCATTTGAGGAGAAATTTTCGTCGGTAAATTCGAACGAAGTTACTAGTTCTCGTTCGTGGGGAGCTTCTGATATGAGCCTAATGGACGATTTTGTCGAAATGGAGAAGTTAGCAATTATTGCAATCGACTCCCCATTTGTGGCTTCGGATTCCAAGAAACCGAATGATTGGCTTCAAAATGTTAGGGATGCGATTTTGGAGCAACGTAATATTTCTAAAAAAAGCGTCGAAGAGCTTCTTGGAGAAATCAGAATGGATTTGAATAGTACTATTAATATTCAACCCATTAGTGGCTATATTACTTGGAAATCCCCGAGCTCAAAATCGACCGAAGAGTGGGGCCCGCATTGTGACTTGAATAAATCCATCGACGAAATCATTGAGATTTTTGGTAGATTTAATTCATCACATACAGACGAAGACGAGAAGACAATTCATGTCTTCAAATGTAAAGGAAGTGAAGTGACACGTGTCATGCAAGAATTCATACACAGTTGTAATAATCTATTGGACGGGAAGATTGATATCGAGAAACTCGCAAATTATTCGATATCTTTTATCCGATGGATTATCGAAAACTGTATTATTTCACATCAAGGTGATTTTAGTGTTAGGGAGGAATTTGAGAAGCACTTGGGTGGTGCGGGGCCCGGAACTGCGTTGGAGCTTGAATCCGTGCAGAGCCTTATGGTTGAAATGGAGAAGAAGTTTTCGACTTTTCGAGTGGAAATTGAAGGGCTGAATAATGAGTTGAATGTTGTCAAATTGTCGAATAATGAAGATCGTGAGATTGAGAATCTGATAGTGATGAATGAAGATCTCGATACTCGATTGACTGTCACGAAAGCTAAATTGGATGAAGTTGTGCAGAAATTATCTTGTGTTGAGGTTGAACTGGATGATAAAAGCCGTTCCTGTGATGAATTGGAAGAGAAACGCCGCGAGCTTCAACTTCAACTCGAAAGGTACATTTTTTATTTATTTTTTGTTAAATATTTTAAACCATACAAAGAAGATCATAATTCATATACAATTTACTCCAATCATTTCAAGGAAAAAAAATGTACTTTAGTCTCTTTATCTGATTTCTAACACAGTATTACGAGCAACCGGCGCTCTGAGGACAATGAAAACCGAGAAGAGCTTCTTCAAACCGTAAGTTTTCACAAGAATTATATAATATACTTACACTATTTTGGATAAATGTTAGTTGGAAAATCTGAATAGTCGATTCGCTCGATTATCAGATTTGGAATCCAATAAAATTGAGGGAAAATAAATAATAACCATAGTATTGAGAAATTACTCGTGAAAAATGCAGGGATTGGAGATTACAAAAGCCTCGGTCATTGGAAATCAACGGTCATCGTTGCGTGATCACATGCAATGCGAAGATAGCGCAGAAGCGGACAATCTTCTCTCCCCGGAGACGAAAGAAATTATAGATACGATAGAAATGAACGCACAATCTGTATACCCTGCAAACTTTTCGTTCAAGAATGGTAAAGAATACATTGGGACGAAAAGCGAGGGTATAAATGGCAATGCCGGAGCTTTGGTTATTGTTCCAAGTAAAAAGAAGGGAGGAATTGGATTTTGGAGGAAGGTGCTGCTTAGAAGGAAGAAAGCTAACTGCAAGAATGGTACCTCTATTTACTTCAGTAAATAAAGGTAAGAGATTCAAATAAAATATGTGGTCTTCATTGTTAATATGTTTCTGTATTTTTGGCTTATTAAATATATGTATCTTTTGTTGAATGTTTGTATTGAAGATATTAATAATAAAGAACTTGGGTTTGATTAGCTATATATTTTCGACACATTTGTTATTTTCGTCGGTTGATACAAATGGTACCGAGTAATTTTCGTTCAATCCAAATAAAAGATAACATCAACGCTAACCACAAAACCAAAACAGCACTTCGTATAAAGTGTTGAATTCAAAATTTTCCTCAAGGAAGAGATCTAATCTAGCATATCAAGATAAAGGAATGAGAACAATGCATGAATGCACAAGTTGCGGAAACAAATAACCAATTATACTGCCAAAAACTTCATCTAAATGTCATCCGAATGCAACGAACCGAAACAAGAAAATCTAAACATGGTCCTAGTTATGGTGCTTCGCACTACGACAGTGCCAACACTGAAGGAGTGTGTTCAAATTAAATGAATGACAGTCATTCATCGAAACTAAACAAGCTACATAACAAGAACACGAAAAAAATGCTACTAAGAAAATATTAATTTTTAAACTGAGAAAGATATAAAATTCAGTTTATAACAATTAGATGTGAATCGATAATGAAATCATCGGAAACTATAGCGAGTAGCACTTATGGTTGATTACCCTCCCAATCACGGAACGGAGGAGAATAAAAAATTCAACATGAGCATATTGACTCGAAAACAAACAAAATTAGCCACAAAGATCCACACTACCTTGACAAAGAAAGATGATCGAGCAAATTCATCAATACCAACAACATTAACTACGCAATAAACAAATAGAAACCGGCACCAACAAACGCAGCCATGTACCCTAACTACAGTTGGATTGTATACATTAACACAATCAGTTCATGCAACATTGGCGAACTATTTATAGCAACGAGATTGGCAACATTTCAACAAACAGTCATCAAGCACAGGTATAATATCTAAGATAATCACAGAAAATGAAACATTTCGAGCAAATTAAATAAGAACTACTGATTAAAAGATGGTCTCAAAAACTCTCTCATAAGAACCTTCAGCAAAAACAAAAGAAACTCAGAAAATATCCAAAATGATAACAACTCAAATTTAATTTAGTTCCAAAAGCATATAATAAAATAAAAAGCAAGAGGTGACCACTAACAATTCTTCAACGGTATGATTTCTGGAACCTAGCACGAGCACCACGCCCACCGAACTTCTTCGGCTCGCAGCGCCTGGGATCGGCCACAAGCAGAGTCCTGTCGTACCTGACGAGGATATCCTTGATCTCCTTCTTCGACTGTTCGTCCACGTACTTCTGGTAGAAGGCGACGAGCGCTTTCGAGATGGACTGACGGATTGCGTAGATCTGGGATGTGTGGCCTCCGCCCTTCACGCGGATGCGCATGTCCACTCCGGCGAAGCGCTGGCGGCCGAGGAGGAGGATCGGCTCGAACGCCTTGTACCGGAGGATCTCCGGCTGGACCAGCTCGATCGGAACGCCGTTCACCTTGATCAGGCCGCGGCCGCGCTTGCAGTGTGTGACTGCAACCGCCGTCTTCTTTCGGCCGAAGCACTGCACGGACTCGGTGGTCGGAGTCGCCGTCGCCATGATTGCGGAGGAGTTTTTTTTTTTTTTTTCTGCTTTCTCTTTCGGAGCGGCGGGGGAATACAGAGGGGGGTTTGGAGGAGAGTGTGAGTGTAGGGGAGGCGTTAGGGATTTAATCAATTAGGGTTTTGGATACCTCATGAAACCAGCGATAATTACATTTATGCCCCTGTACTGTTTTGGGCTTTGATTGACCGATCAAATGTGGGCCCGAGAACTTTTATTTGGGCTTTTAGGTTCAATAATTATGCCCATTTTCTGTTTTGGGCCTCGATTGATCTACCAAATTTGGGGCCCGAATACTTTTATTTGGGCCTTTTGGTTCAATAATAATGGCTTTGTTTTTTAAAGCCCAATAATTATGGCATTTGACACCATTCAAATTTGGCCCAAATAAATTATTAAATATAAATGAAGCAAAACTAAATTATGAACTCAAAAATAAAGACGGTAATACATTTTGTTCTTGTATATGCCACGTTGGCTTAAATAATTTGGGTATTATGCAGTTGTAGATTTATGTAAATCGCGTACAAATATACGTAGATGTGGGTAAAATGTGTGTTGTGTATTTCATATCATAAAAGTTACCGATGAAACCCATGACAAAGCTCATTTCCGATTCTTGCCTTGGGCCTATCGAACCGTGTGATCGACATGTGTGTGTATATGCGTTAAGTCTATTGTGATTTAACTCTCATATGGTCACGATAGTAGATGTATAATATATCATCAAAGATTCGAACCAGACTCGAACTTGGCTCATACGAAGATTCAAGCTCGATCTCATTTTTTTTAATTAATATATATTAATTGTATTTTATTGTAAAGTCACAAACCACGTGTATTTATTTATAGGCAAACTATAATTGTAGTCTGACTGGTTCTTCCATTTTAAATTTGTTTCCTATTCTAATTGCATCCATTTACACATATGTTTCTTGTAAGTGACAACATTATTTTTATTCTTTAATTATTCTCTCAAAGCATGTTTTCCAAAATAAAATAAAAATAACTAGATGTACCTCGAAGAAAACCTTTTATATTTCCACTTGGGTAAATTAGATGTTTTTATAATTAACCGACATTGTGAAGAGATACAAATAGTCCAATACCAATACAATTACAGAATATAACAATGGGAGACAAAGGAAATCCAATATTTAGCATAACAATAATATTTTTAATAAAGTCGGCCCCAATCAGCTGATGCGGCGGCACAGGGTAATCCCATCACCCACCGGCAGCTGGCAGATCTCGATCCTAGGATCGGCGGCGAGAGCCTTGTTGAGCTCAAGCACAAAATCCCTGTAGTACCTAACGTACTTCCTCAATGGTGCATCTGGTGGGGCCACCACGGATCCGTTCCACAGGGTGTTGTCGTAGCCGATTACACCACCAACCTTGACCAGATCAATTAGCCTCTTGTGGTAGTTGATGTAGTTGTCTTTGTCAGCATCCACAAATATGAAATCGAATGTCCCATGATACTTGCCCTATTTTTTCGAAATGGCAATTTCGTAAATGTGTGTAGGGGTGGAAATCGTACAAATTGGATCAACACTTTTTTTTTTAAAGTTCGATTTATTTTTTCTTCCGAAAGTGTAAAATTAATTTCAATTATGTTTAATAAAAAAAAGGCAAATTACTGCACCAGGTATGGCCAAATTACGAAGAAAAAAAAATCTTATTGTTTTGGTAATTACAATCACCCCTCATTTTAAATATTTTTACATAAAATTTATGTAATTCGATTAATTCCGTACCAAATCGTATATTCAGTTCGGTAAACGGTATGAAATGTTGGCGTACCGAAATTTCGTTTCGGTTTTACGGATTTAACATCCCTAAATTTACCGCTGGAGGGGTATTTTTGTAAGATAATACATAGTTGAGAGGATGACTGTGATTACTAAAAAAGATGGGGGGTTTTCGTAATTTGACTATAACTCAGGGGTGGCCGTAATTTGCCCTATAAAGATGAAAAAAATGGAACGAAATCGGAAATTCCAGTGCCCTATATGTAATTTTTGAAAAAAAAAAACAAAATCGGATTCTCAAAAATTAATATCCGAATCGAAAAATCGAAATTGAATACATATTCAATTTTCATTCCAAAAAAAATCGGAAAATTAGAAATCCACGGAAATCGAAAATAATATTAGAGAGAGAAAGGGAGGTCTTACATCAGCAATCATTTGATCAAGAACAGGCAAAGCAGGGCCTTCTCTGAAGTCAATTTTGTGGGCAACCCCAGCTTTCTGAATCACAGGCAATCCCAACTCATAGTTCTCTTTGTTTATGTCCATTGCCAATATCTGCACCAACCCAAAATTGATTTTTTTTTTCATTACTCATAAATAATATCAAATGTTGGATTAATCTCGGTTTGTTCTATGCTAGCTACCATAAATGCGCAGACATCCATACATATTTTACACACATCCACATGTATAACAGTATAAGTGCGTGTAAATCATGAGGTTTAAAAGACCATTAATCTCCTTAATTAGAGTTAGGTTACCTTTGCATTAGGCCTAACTTTTAGGCAAAAGTATTAATTAGTAAATTACATTTAAAAAAAATAATAAATAAATAAATAAAAGAAAAATGAAAAATGTACCTTTCCATCATGTGGAAGAGCAAGGGCAGTAGCCAAGAGAGAGTAGCCAGTGTAAACACCAATCTCCATTGTGTTTTTCGCATTTATCAGCTTCAAAAGCATGTTCAAAAACTGCCCTTCATCCGCTGATGTAGTCATAATATTCCTGTTTTCCATTTTAATTTAATTAATTAAATAAATAATTATTTATTTGAAGGAAAAAAAAAACCAATTTAGAAACTAACCAAGGGTGCTTAGCAGTAATTTCCCTAAGCTCTTTCATTGACTCCGGCTCCTTTGGATAAACACTGGTTTCAAGAATGTACTGTAAAATAAAAAAAAAAACTTTACAAATCAGTCCCTCAACAAAATCAAAATTACACAAAAACCCCATTTTCTGTAGATATATATACCTGGTAGAGGGCATCGCTTTGGAGAAGGCTCTTGTGCCCAACTTCTTGATGCCTGCCTGCTTGATTTTCTGCCTTCTCACCATTTTCTGCCATTTTCTTTTTTCTAAATCTGAATTGTTTCTTTCCTTAAATGATCACTTGTTTTGAAATATTATGGCAAATGGAGGTGGATTAATATATAGATATTTTGTATCCGGTTCAGACCGGTAGGGTTATTATATTCGTGGGGGGGTCGAACCGGTTCGGGTGGGGGTTGGTGAAAGTGGGTTAAGTGGAGCCCAATTGAAGTTGGTGGGCTGGGGTCAAGCAAAGTGGAGTTGGGATTGGACCTCCATCATTAGGTGAACGGCTTAATTTCACTTTGGACCCTTGAAATGTATCATTTTGGCAATTTGCACCCTCAAAAATAATTTATGTCATTTTGCACCATCGGAACATGTTTAATCCTTCAGATTGTATCGTATTTTCGATAATGAATTTCCATTGTTAACCTACTTTCTAATTATTAACGCAATCATTCTAGCTCGAAAATACATTAACACTTTTTACCCTAAAGAAAATATCAATTGAATAGTCAAATAGATAAAAATGACCATGTTGACGATCAAAAAATAAGTTGACGACGGAAAATTATGACCGAAAAATATAATATGATGCACTTTGACGATTAAACATGTTTAAAGGGTGCAAAATGCCATAAATTATTTTCAGAGGCCTAAAGTGCCAAAATGGTACATTTTAAGAGTGCAAAGTGGAATTAAGTATATTTTTTTTCCTTTGCGCGGACGTGCAGGATGATGATTGGTTTTAAATTCATGTGAGTGGGGAGGTAACAAATAGGAGAACTCCACGTGGCAATATTGTTTGGTGAATAGATGGTTATGATTTAAAGAGGGTCAAGATTCTTCTCTCACTTTGGTGCTTATTTGGTGTACCTGTACACATGGCATTGTCAAAACTTTTGATGAATTTAATTTATTTTAAAAATAAAATTAAAATATAAATGTATTTTTCAAAATTATTACATTCTAAACATTTGTAGACACAACATATAAATGAGGTGTGTGCAATGAAAAATAAAAATAGTAAATGAAAGTGAGGTTGGTGAAGTCGACCAACCCCATGAACCAACTTGTATTCTTTTACACTCCAAGTTTCTTTCATCTATTGTTTTTTTTTTACACTCCTAGTTTTCATCACCCAATTTAATTTTATAGTTGACTTTCTCATTTACAAAATTTGCCAGTGAAGCATTTAGATTTGGTTATTTTGATCCTATACCCAACGAATGTTACACGAGGATGATTTTTTATCGTTAATCTACACACCATGCGTGTTTGTGTGCTTATGAATGGTAAAGATCACATAACTAGTTCTGCTTCTCAACAAACACTCGGTAAATCGCAGCATTTTCGCAAGACCAAAAATTTACTCGGATGCTATAGCCAATATTAGTGTATTCCATCAATGGTGAATTATTAGACGAGCAATAAGGCGAATCGAATTATAAATTCCCGATTCACCATTTCAGCAATCAAAACAACATCTCGATTATTTGCATAGCACAATGTATACACGCTGTAATTCAATTCATGAATGGTGCTGAGAAGAAAAAAAAATGATCATTTTATTTACCACTTTACCTCCTTAAAAAATCGAAGAAACCAGCCACTCGCCATTCTTGAAATCGACCTACTCGAATAACATCTATTTTTTCGCTCTTGTAGCCAACGCTTTTCGTATAACAGAAGCCTTCTCTCCAATTAAACCCCCCTCCGAACCAGACACATTCAAATTACTATCCAATATCCGATCATCAAACTCGTCACAAAAGGCCGAATAATCCTCCCTCGTAATCAACATATTATGTAAAATCGAACACGAACCAATACAAGCCACTCCCATCTTATAATCGGCTTCGATCGGTCTATTCAAAACACCCCAATTCCTCAAACTCGCATTGGCTTTCAACCAACAAACATACGTTAAACGATGCGCATTGTTGAAATTCTCCTCAACCGATCCTATTTGAGGATCGACAAACGGTAGTAATAACCAAGGGAGCAAATCATACTCCCCGTTCCCGATTAAATACCGAGGTACATCCACACCGTTCACAATTACGGGCCTTTCTGAATTCAAGATGACCCCGTTTTCAATATCTTCGTACAAAGTCGAGGATTTCAAGATTTGTAGATCGTTTTTATTGCCACGAAAACCGGCTACTATGCTGAGAATTCTCGACGACGAATCGACCACGATTTGAGTGGCGATTGAATCGGAGTTGTTGTTGTTACCTCTTTTGAGGTTGAACCTAGTGCAGCTTATGACACCGCAGCAATTGGGGAGGCCGGTTAGGGTTTCAAACCGGGTTGACACGGAATCCAACTCGGAGTGAGTTGGGAACCCGACCCAGAACCGGTAATTGGTGCAGAGCACGCGGCAGAGGCGCCTGACGCAGAATTCGGAAACAGCTTCGGACACTCCGAAACGGGTGGAGATTTCGGCGTAATCGGCGCCGGTTGCGAGTCTGAACAGGCCGATTCCGAGGCGGGTCTCCGGGGCCAAATTGAGGGGCGACCCAACCGGGTCGCGGCAGTCGAGCAACGGTTCGAGGAGGCCGCAGAGCCACTCGAAAGTCGAAGCCTTCATCCTGAAGAATCGGCTAAACGACTCGGGGTTCCGGCTGACCGCCGGGCCGAGTCGCGACGCGGGATTGCTGTCGTCATCGTTGTCCGGGTCGTCGGGTCCTGTGGGGTGGGCCCGCTTGCGTTTTCGTGAAATTGAGAGGAGAGAGGCGACGGCGGCTGTATCGGCGGCGGAGAGAAAATGGCGGAGGAGGGGGGAAATGGATTGTTGGAAAATCTGACCGGAGGAGGAAAAGGAACTGGGATTTGTGATCGAGAGAGGGTTTGGTGGAGGGAAAATGAGGAAGATGAGTATGAGAATTTGAGAAATTAGAGATGAGATTAAACCCGCCAAAACCCGCGAATTCATTTTCTGGATTTTTGGTTTTCCTTCGTCTCGGGAATTGGGACTGTACTTTTTTTTTTCCCCTTAATTTCTTTGCGAATCAGACAAAGGAAGGAAAGAGTAGTGCTTGACAAACTGAAATGCTATTCGTATAACATATTTTACCGTCTTGCAGTGCGACTTTATTTTATTTGTAATTTTCAAAGAAAAAAACCACAATTTTCTCAAACCCTTCCCAACTATATTTCGTGCATTAACATTTCGTATTCCCTAACACGGAATGGATAAAGGCATTTCATGCAAAGAAACACAAAATAGTATTTTTTTACGATACACGAAACCATAAATTTATGGTTTTTATGCATTTCGTGTTGTATTGCACGAAATGAAACAATGCATTTCGTGCAATATAGCACGAAATACTTTTTTTTTTCATAAATTTGTTTTATTTCGTGTAAATTTACACGAAATACAAGCTTGCATTTCGTGTAAATCTACACGAAATAAAACAAATTTATGCAAAAAAAAACAGGCATTTTGTGTTATATTGCACGAAATGCAGTATTTTATTTCGTGCAATACTACACGAAATGCATAAAAAAATTCAAAATTTGATAAAAAAAAAATACGTTCTTTATCTCAAAATCGAAGTAGGTTTATTCTGTATTGATAATTATTGTGTTCTAATTGATATTATCGGTAAAATTTGATGATTTGGAAAATTTAAAAATTCAGAGGTTGAGAGAATTTGGAAAGAAGTCAAAGGATTTTTGATAAATGAATTATTTCGTACTATAACTGGAAAAAAATACACTATAAATAGTAAACCCCTTGACAAATTAAAAGGCACGTCATTTATATCTATCTACATAGTGGCAAATGCTAAATAGAAGTTGTTTCTTTTCACACTCCAATCTAATTTTAAATTTTAAATGACGTAATTAATCGTGACTCACGATGAGCTAATTGGTGGATCAAGAAGATGTGGACTAAAACGACCCCGAATTCAAAATTTATTAGGTTATTGCACCGCACATTCGTAGTTAACAAAAGAAGAATTTAGTCATGTTGCAAAGGATGATCGAATAGTTTGAGCAATAGAGCTTGTGTCAACTGACTCAAATTCCAATTCATTTGTCAATGGTCTGTAGGTCGAGCCTGTCATACGTGAGTAGTTTAATTTACATTTCTCGTATAATTTGCAATTAAACATAAACGCAGCTAATACTCTTGTTTTTGGGCCAACTCTTTTCTTTGATGCGTCATGGGCTTTTGAGCCTTGGCCCGAAAAGAGAAAGGTACAATAAGTATAAAAGTTCACAAGGTCAACAGACAAGCCTATTATATGTGCTTAACTAAAGCCCGGCCCACTATAGCTTTGGGCTTTTGAACATATTGTATCATCAATTACGTATATTGCATATTAATATGTGTGTGTACTTTACTTAAAAAAATAACCACTCGATAAGAACGAAGTCAATACCTCACTTAAGTGGCATGGAATAAAAATATTTTTTTGGATTAAACCAATCACAAGGTTTTGAGATAATTATATTTTTATACCTAAAATTTATTTTTCGTGCAATGTTAATCTTGACCGCAACCATTTTCAACAGTCTACACTATCTATCTTAATTTTGTTTGGTATTACATCCAATTCGATAAATTTTAATGTGTAATACTTACTATATACTATAGATATATATCATTATACAATATCTACAATACCATCTATCTCATCGAAAACGTTTTTTCAACAGTCTACACTATCTATCTTAATTTTGTTTGGTATTACATCCGATCCGATAAATTTTAATGTGTAATATTTACCATATACTATTGATATATATCATCAGATACAACATCTACAAAACCATATATTTCACGGAAAAAACTTTATTCGATTTTTTTGACTAAAGAAATTTATTTGTAAAAGATTTCCACATATATACACTAAATAGCAATCTATTTATTATTGAAAAAAAGGCCCTTTAGTCCCAATACTTCAAATTTAAAATCTCAATCATAAATAAAAATTAAAAACCATCCAAAAAAATATTTCCCAAATAAATTAAGAGTCAAATTCTTTTAACCATATTTGAGACACAAAAGTCAAATATACTTTTAACCACTTGGTCAAATATTTTGATTTACCCAAAAAAACACACCAATTAATACAAAGGACAACAAGACCCCCCTACTACATTATAACTCACCGTTTCATCACCTCCTCTCTCTCTCTCTCTCTCTAACTGTGTCTTTCTCTCTCTCTATCTCTCACACACACTGTGTGTGTATACAGTGTCTAAAACACAACCACATTCTCTTTCATCCATCAGCCGAGCCCTTCTGCTTTGTCTTCTCGTGGGCATATCCTCTCTCTCTCTCTCTCTTCTCTCTCTCTCTCTACATGTGAAACCGTCGTCTCACCCTTAATTAAAAAAATAAAGAAAAAACAGCAAAAGGGAAAAATCATTTTCCTTTTTATTTTGGTAGCACCGAGAAGTTATGGAAATTGCTCAGATTTCGTAAAGAAACGCCTCTTATCTTCTTCACCTACTGCTATTTATCACAATTTTCCCAACCCCATAACCAAAAAAAAAAACAGAAGCAGAAGAAGAAGAAGAGAACCCGATTGCCCGATCGCAATCGCCGCCGATCATTTTGTGCTTGTTCTAAGGTTTCATTTTTGACCCATCTGTTAATTTTGCTAATTTTTTTTTGGTGGTTGAATGATGATGAACTGAGTTTTGCTAAAAAAAAAAAATTAATAATTATTTTCTATGTTTTTGAGATTGATTATTGTTCTTCCGAACTGCAATAGATTGAGATCGAAAATCTAGAAAGAGATCTGCTCTTTTAGGTGTGCAATCTTCGTTGTTTGTTTCGCCCCCTTTAATATTTATTAATTTGGCATAGTAGATTATAAATTTGTAAAATTATCTGATTTTAATTTTTTTATTTTTTATTTTTTTTAAATTTTTTTTTTCTGGGTAATTGGTTGAACAGTGCTTCTGATATCTGCTGAATTAAGGTAAAAATTGCAGACAGTGTTTGAAATTTATATTCACTGCCACTCAAGAAATGATGCTTGCATTTTCCACTTGTTTTATCCGAATTCTGTTTCCACCTTCCGATTCTTGATAAATTTCTGATTTCGATCTTGATTTTAAGTGTATTGCAACCTCTGATTAACAATTTTAAGATCCTGGAGCGAAATTAATATCGTGGTTGATTTATTTAAATATAACTCAGTTCAATTTGTTGTGTAAGTATGTGTTGCTATAGCTGTTCGTAATAATAGATGCCGTAAACTTCTCTCATTCAACTTCATTGCTGTTCGTAATTATCTTTCTCAATCATCCACAGATTACGAAAAAAAACCGTTCGAAGCACAACAAATTAAAGATATGCAACGGGAGAGGAGTGCCCTCGATTCCTTTCTTGAACCAATCGATTTAAACCAAGGCTCTCTGCCCAACAACAACAACAACACCACTTCTTCCATGGATCACTCCTCCTCTTGGGATAACATGCTAAACCCAGTCGATAATCAGTTGCCTAATTACACGGGTCCCACTAATGCTGTAGACGCCGCCCAATGCTTCAGTGGGTGGGACCGCGGCGAATCCAGCTCCGGCACTGCAAACAATACCCAAGACGGATCTTTTAATGATGCTTCGAAAACAAACCTCGGATGGGCCTCTGTTTTCAAAGCTTGTTCGAATTCCGACACAAGGTCCGAAAATTGGCCTTACGAAACATCCAATACTCAAAATTACAGTTCAATCCACGACAGCCACAGAGCTATTGTACCGAAGCTGCCTCACAGCTTATACAAGTCTAGTAGTAGTAGTCATACAGAAACAGAGCAGATTCCGAGCTTCTACCCTTCTTCGAGCAATGTCGGTGCATCTTTCGCGGGCAGTTCTAATTCCACTACCATGATGTCTGAAAACAATGACGGCCCGCCTTTCGGTACTTGGGGCTCGTCTTGCAAGAGAAAGGCTCTCGAGAATACTTCTGGACAATTTTACCCTGGCGGCAGTTCCACCTCAAATCAGCCCGATCGTTACATTGCTCCAAGAAACCTAAGTATATCTCCGGGCCCACAAAACCCGTCTACCGGTAACCACTCGGAACATCTAAATCCAACTACTGGGGGTTTTTACCCCTCCCCAAGCGTACGATCGAATTACGGATTGAACGAGCCGGTCCCGCTAGATGCTTCTAGAAGCACTTCCTCGAGGAACTACGGGGGCTACCCCCGCCAGCTGTCGCGCGCCCCTACCTTGAACCCCGATTCTTCTTCGGAGATGAGGTCATCGATGATGTCGCCGCCGGTGAATCTGAACCGTCGGTTGATGCACGTGAACGAGGCTAGAGGAGGGATGATGCATCATTCTTCGTACCCTTGGAGCGGATCCTTCGGCTCTTCTTTGCCAGGTGGTGGAAGTTCATCGGGATCTTTTGGAAGTGGGGCCCGCGATGAGGTTAGTGTGAGAAGCTCTCGTAGAAGTAATAGAGAATATCCAGAGATTAGAAATACTGTGCACGAACAAATTGATTGGAGTTTCTCTCCTGGAAATTCGGGGAATTCCTCTAGAAACAATTCTTCTTCTTCTCCTTCTTCAGCCAACGCGTGGCTGCCACATCAGATTCAGGCGACATCACAGCAGAGTCATCATCATCATCATCAGAGAATGACAGAATCTGCTCCTTGGGTTCAGTTTCACCATCACGCTGAATCTGAATCTGGGGTTTCGAGGGGGCATTTTGGTCTCTTTCCTTCCGCCGCGTCTTCTTCTTCGGTGGATGAGGTGGCGGCGGCTTTGGGTTCGAGTAGTAGGGCACAGCAGCTTCAGTTGGATCAGAGGTCGGCGGCGATGTTGATGGATATGCCCGGTGACGATGCCAACGGCTGGCGTGCTTTGTCCGCTGTCGAGGGGAGACACAGACTGGTATCTTACAAACCCTATCGAATTTTTATTTATTTATTTACTTTTTGAATAGTCATATGCTCATTTAGTGTATAAGTTATGCTGAACGAATTTTATGAAATTATTGAACTCGGACCTAGTTCTTACATCACCTAGCTTTTAGACCTTTGACTATCTTCCAGTTCTCGTAAATAGCTGTAATTATATAAATAAATTGCCACTTTATTACACCGTGAAATTTCATTATTTAACTTTTTACCCTGCTTTGCTGAACAGATTCGTCAAGTTTTGAATGCAATGAGGAGGGGCGTCCACTTACAAGCTGAGGTTTGTATTCGATACATGCGATCATCAGCAATTAAGTATTTATCTAAATCCCCTATAAATATGGCGGGATATAAAAATATACCCAAGCCATTAACTTGCCCTTGGAACTCTACCGACACATCAAAATCTCTAAAATGCCCCCCGTGACTTTATTTTTCCGCTGGCTGCTTGAGTATGTAATAAGAAAAGAGCCTTACAAACTTATTATATGCATGCTATTGTCACTGAAAATTTTCAATTTCCGTTACGTTGAAGTTTTAAATTATTTGTTAGTTCTACAATTTGCTACCCTGCTTTTAATGCAGGATTATATGCTTGTTGACCCTTTTATGAATGGATTCGCCGAGTTGCACGACAGACACAGAGATATGAGGCTCGATGTTGACAATATGTCTTATGAGGTACTTTATTATTCCGTTTACCTGTTCTCTCTGAATCTCGATGTTCTCGTTCGAATAAAATAAAT